ATGTCATTCATCTTTGAGATTCAATCCCAAGATGCAAAACGTCAGCGCTGTGGGTGGGTGTACAGTGCTTAAAGTGAAAGGTCAAAGATCAAGGGTCATTCGGCCCTCTTTCACTGATTGATGAACTGAGGGCACATCCTTCAGGTTTCCGACAGGCACATTTTAGAGAAACTAAAATCATCAGCGTATATCATTCCCAGGATGGATCACTACAATGACTGAATATATACAATATCAGGTCACACTATGGTTCGAGTGATTGACTTAAACATGAAACAGATAAAAACATGGTCACATCCCCTGTTGAATACACAATAATCTTTTCTTTCCTTATTTTGTACATTTTCACATAGTTGGAAATCCAAGTTCTAAAGAAACGTCACAGCTCACTAAGGGTTTCCCTCCATTCCAAACAACACAAAGCTCTACAAGATGTTCATGAATACTGTATCAATAGAACAGATGGAATGCACTAGGAACAAGAGTAAAGAAAGAACAACAATACTACCTGACCATGTCAATAAGGCTACTGAATGAATGAATGTACTCTTTTTTGTTTTTTCTTCGTTTTCTTAAATTCCCAATGAATGAAGCATACCAGTGGCTTAATATCTATTAATGAACTACCTCTAGAACATGTTTAGGTGATGCCCTCCAAAAATTAGGATTAAACCCTTAGCCCAAAACTGAAAGAAAGGAGAATCTGCAAAAAAGAGAGGAGAGAAAATGAAACATACTGACTCTGGGCAGGATGCATTGGTTAAAACTTAAGATGGCCGTCCAGTGTAAACCATTGACCAGAGCTGAGAGGTCCGATAAAGAGCACGCTTATCACTTGCAAAATCAAGGAATGAAACATAATTCCAAAAGAGACTGCTGTACAGTGTAGAAACGGACATTTCCGTCAGTCTCTTCCATGGGGATGGGGAAAGCAGTGGATCGGGTCTGGGGGACCGCTCGGATGATGCCCCGAAATGCACAAGCCACTTCTGATTTCATGAGCTGCAGTTGGGAGAGGTTGATTACAGTATCGATAAAAAGCCAATGAGACGTTCATTTTCTCTTGCGATCTTTTCTTTTAGCAAAAATATCATGCAGTCTTTAGTTCCGTACCCTCGAACAGGGGACTAATGGATGTTACTCGTCGTTTGTTTCAGAAGGAAAAGAATTCAAATACTTGAAATGTTTCTTTTGTATTATTCTTAAACATTCAAGTCATTCTATATAATACGTTTCTCTTTTTTTGTTGTTTTTTTACACCAGAAAAGTCCTTTAGATTTTACACACGCATGTGTATATAGAAATATAATATATAGAAATATGCATATACATATGTATCAACTTTTCATATATGTGTACACATATTTTCCAATTGTATCAAAGCCAATTCAATGTGCTCTCAAAATATGGCCCATGTTTCCTTGGGGAACGCATATCAATTCACGTAATACAACCAATAGATAAGGTTGAAGAATCCAAAAGTGATAGGAAAAATGACCCGGGACCACTTGTCAATGGTGCTAACATCCGCCAAGTTGGGGATTTTGAGCTTCAGCTTAGACGAGCGCCTTCTTAGCCGACAGTTGGCACGACTGCGCATGCCGCTGCGGTCCAACGAGTGGTGGCTGAACCCATCCCGTGAAGCCATGGGCTTGCGGAACTGCACTCCGGAGCTGTCAAAGGACATGACGGAGTTCCGTGAGTCACTGACGCTGCTGCCAACGTCGGACGGCATCACCTCATTGTTCATCTCCAAAGTGGTGAGAAGAATGTTTCCGTAAGCGTCCACCTTGAGACAACAAAAGAGAGAGAAGTCATGAGCGGCCATAGGAAAGGGACGGTCCTAAACTGTCTCAAACAGCGTTCAACCTTTCATGCGGATGCAACGATGATGTGATGTCACAGTTACAACAAACTTTGGTAACACTTAATTTTGATAGTCCACTTTAGACATTCTACTACCTATAAACACATTTGCAACTACATGTCAACTAGCAGTCATTATAGTATTAGTAAACTGTGTGGTTAATATCTACTAACACTTTATTTTGATGGTCGATCAACAGACGTTCTACTGACTATGAGTAACTTTGCGAGTACGGCAACTTATTCTACTAACCTTAACAGTCTACAAATACTCTAATGAGAGTTAGTTGACATGTAGTTGCAAAGTTACTTACAGTTAGTAGAATGTCTAAAGTGGACTATCGAAATAAAGTGTAACCCAAACTTTACTTGGGAAGAGAAAACTTTACAAGAATCATTTAAAATGCAATGGCTGACACACACACACAGTAGTTAATGACAATATTTCATCAACTTCCGAGTCTACTGTTTCAACTGATAGGATTTCTAAATGCACGTACCCCGACTTTTCTTTGTTCCTCGAGATACAGATTTCTTCGTTGTGTATATGACCTGAGGGTGTTGCTTTGAAACGGCGCTGAAATGGAGTCCTTGCAATGAGAAAGAAAAAATGAAGAGAACATTAAAACGCCCATATAAACTGACAATCAAGCAACAATTTTCAAAGAATACAAAAGTGCATAAATGTGAGGGTGAATAAGAAAGAGCTTGCATAAAAGACACAGACACAAATGCTTTAATTCATTCAAAAACTCTCATTACTCTGGTTTAGTCGCTGAGCTTAGTCCAAACAGTTGTAAGTATGAAAATGGCTAGCATATTTTGAGAAGGGAAAAATGAATCGGTCTATCTCTACGGTACTCGGATTGAAAGAGAAGCCTGTGGCAATAAAGCAGACTAGAATCTGATAATGTAATGACAATGTAATTTGTAACTTTCCGAGCGAGAGGAACCTCTCTTAATAATGAAATGCAGCTTCAATCAAATGAAATACGTCACTGATTACATAAAGTGATGGTTAATGGGCTATTGAATATTCGTTTTTAGCGGTGCAATAGTTATTTTGATGAGTGAAGTTGTTCTGCTTACAAACTAAGTGCATACGGATTCATTTAGACATGCATGAACATTGTCAACGCTTATTAAATTCATTTAAATTAGCTTTTAATTAGCACAAAAATGAACTCTGCAACCGTTATAAATGGTTTACAAGAGACCTTGCGTACCTGTTCCCTCAGACGCTTCTCCTCATAGCGGGGACGCTCGTTGTTGGCTTTGTTTAGCCTTTCGTGGATCTTTTTTTGCTGCTGGGGTCCCCTTCCAAAGAACACATAGTTTACGAAGGCATATTCGAGCAGGGCCAGGAAAACAAAGACGAAGCAGCCCATGAGGTAGACATCGATGGCTTTCACATAGGGGATCTTTGGGAGGGTCTCCCTCAGGTGGGTGTTGATGGTCGTCATAGTGAGCACCGTAGTTACACCTGCAAGAAATCCATATGAATGAACCATGTCTTGTTCACGCGACTTGCGTCGGGGCATTCATGGACCACTTAACAGGGACGTCATGCCCCTACTTTATGCCCAAGGTGCAATAAGACATACCCAAAGAAAAAAAAAAAGTGAAATAAGACATGTCACTATTTGGGGGTCTTAGAGTAAGGATTCTTTTAATGACCAAGTTTAAAACCTGCCATAACAGAACTCTTTTTTGGGTTCAACTTTATATTAGGTGGCCTTAACTACTATGTACTTACATATCAAAAAATAAGTACAATATGCTTATTGTGTTCATATTGAATTGCAAAACACTTTTTATGCTATTGAGGAGGGATATGGGTAAGGTTAGGGACAGGTTTGGTGGTATGGGTAAGTTTCATGGTTGATTAAGGTGTAAGGGATAGGTCAACAGTGTAAATATAAATGTAATTACAGAAATTAATTACAAATGTAATAACATGCATGCATTTTTTAAATATTAGTACACTGTAAAAACATGTGTGTGCACAATAAGTGCATTGTATCAACTGATTAATTTAAATGTAAGTCCATTAAGGCCACCTAATAGAAAGTGGGACCCTTTTTTGATTTTTAAACAAACTAAATATGTAACAATTTCAATGCTAAAAGAGAGCAACATTCTGGCGATATACTGCAGAAAAAAACAGACATAGTTTCACAAAGCTTTATGTCCTAGAATGCTTTGGGCTGGTTTGCATAGCCCTGTACTTGTGAAAAAAACAAGGTTCTTTGTCAGCTAAGCATTTGTCACTGAGATGAATACAGTAGGAATGCTAAGGACAGTTTTCTCAAGCTATTTTGGACATACTTGATCTACATAAATATTGGATTAGTCTTATTTTAATTTTGTACCTGCATCACCTGCATAATTATATTTAATGCAAATCTTCCAGTGAAATTACTGGCAAACGGAGTCAAAGTCAAAACCGCTTGAACTTTTGAGCATCACGTAAGCTTAAAGCTTCGCTCAAGTTTATTGCATTGGGGAACACTCATGCAGGTCACGTGAAAGGGCTTCAAGTACTTTAATCATGATTGACAAAAAGTATAGGATATAAGAATATCTGAACACTCAAAATGATTGATATTTTTTATACAGGGAAAAAATAACTTCCTGTTGAACAAAACGTTAAAGGTTACCCAGGGCCACACGAGCAGCAGAGGCATCGTAGTTAATCCAGAAGGAGACCCAGGACAAGATTGTGATCAGGATAGAGGGCATGTAAGTTTGCAGGATAAAGTAGCCTATGTTTCTCTTGATGCGGAAACTCAATGACAGCCGAGGGTATGAACCTGGGGAGACACAAATACACAGCAAAAGCCAAAAAAAGAGAGAGATGTCAACATGTAAGTGGAAACACAAAAGAGCAAGCACAGGAAAAACAGATCTACAATTTGCAATTGTCAAAGTCTGCACTTTGACAACGGATAGTCATTTTCCCACTTGTTCAGATGGAGCATTTAATTTCCCCAAAGCAATGGATTCCTTCCCAGGGACTAGTTCCATTCCAATTAAACATGGCAGAAAGTCGCAAACATGGCAGATTTTTCTGAAACCCCCTTCTCAGCAGGCAGCATATATGTCCCTCTGAGAATTGTCACAAAAGAATGCAGTTCTTTAATACAGGGTATTCGAGAGAAAAAAAATTACAATTATGTAACTCAAGAGCATGTCCCGTTAATTTGTAAAATCTGGTGTACGGTTTAAAACAACTGTAAACAGCATGTCTCAAGAAGCCTTTCCAAGATTGGCCTCCACATGCCTGCTTAAAAACGATGCCGCTAAATGTTAGGTGTGGTATGAATAATTGACTCATTCAATGTACTGATTATTCAAATTGCTATGGCTATTTATTAACGTTAAAGGAATATTCTTGTTTATTCCCTGTGGTTCCAATCTCCCTGCACTTGGGCTGAAGTGAAAGGATTTTGGATAAGGATGCAATAGAACAAATTCCATTGGGAGCTTAGCAGCAACAGTATCCAAGGGAAAGGGAATAACTTGATCAGGCTGTAATTTAAAACATGTGAATTAATTCAACACATTTGAAAAGGAACAATACCTGATGTCTACACTCTAAAAAAATGTTGGGTTAAATACAACCCAGCACTGGGTGAAATATGGACAAACCCAGCAACTGGGTTGTTTTGACCCAGCGGTTGGGTTAAAGTTAATCCAACCTTCTGGGTAGTAACCCAACCACTGGGTCAAAACAACCCAATAGCTGTCAGACTCTGTTCCTTGTTTTGTATGTGTTCTGCTCCCCATGTGCCTTCCTTGCCCTTATTTGGTCCTTCCTGTTCCTGTCCCCATTTAGTTCTATTAGTTCCAGGTGTTCCTTGTTATTAGTTATCCTCCTCACCTGTCTACCCCTTGTTATCTGCCCTATTTGAGTTCTAGTCTGCTCCCCATGTGCCTTCCTTGCCCTTATTTGGTCCTTCCTGTTCCTGTCCCCATTTAGTTCTATTAGTTCCAGGTGTTCCTTGTTATTAGTTATCCTCCTCACCTGTCTACCCCTCGTTATCTGCCCTATTTGAGTTCTAGTCCGTTTTGTTCTCCCTTGTCCGGGATTGTATATGTCTACCCTTGCTACGTGTGTTTTCCTTGTTCCCTGGATGTGATTAAAGCCTATATGTTTGAATTGCACTCCTCATCTCCTCGCTCCTTCGTCTCCTTGCTCCTCACAGTAGCGAACCACGGCAATAGCTGGGTTTGTCCATATTTTACCCAGCGCTGGGTTGTATTTAACCCAGCATTTTTTAGAGTGTATCAAAGCTTGCATAAAATTGATGAATCAACAGCAGCACTATTTTTTTTTTATTATTAGTCACTCTTGTTTGGACACTTGCCCATAAATCTTCCCATTAAATAAATATGAGCAAGAACACTTAAAATGATAGCCACATTTTCTACATTAGTTTAAATTGAGCAGTGCAGCGCGATAATCTTAAATCTGAGTAAATCTTATTCACTGCATTGTTTTCAGTGACAGTTTTCTGAGGCCATAGATTTTAGTGCTATTGTTAACCCCATGTGGAGTACAACATTAAAGTAGTTGAAACTACTAACTAAACTACATTTTTAGCTGTGTGGCAGTAATTCAATTATTTTCAGAACTACTACTTTTTTCCCAACAAGCAGTGGTGTAACCTGTTAAAATTATACACCACGTGATTCACTTTCACTTTTCTTTTTGGAGTCTTTGTCTGTATATAGTCCTACTCCTTTTTCTTCTTCCCTTGGGAAAATAGCCACATGAGAACTAACATCATCACTTTTACACTACATCTGTGCTGGCTTCTGTTCACACAGATTGTCTGGGATTGATCCTGGGAATGTTACTAGGTCCTGATCCCAGTATCACATTTTCCGGCATTCCAACTCCAAGTTCACATAGGAGGCACTTAGCAGAAAAGGAAGTCTCAGTGTGAACATCAGCTTAGGTACAGAAACCCAAAATGCTCAAATTTATCATTGATCTTTTTGTTCATGATTTGAAATATAACATGACACGAGCAATGCCAAGGACATGGGTTAAGTTCACACACACACACACACACACACACACACACACATACATACATAGAAAACATAAACTGATACATTGAATGAAATTAAAGTTGCTTTGAAGGTGTCAAAGTATTTGGACCAAGTGAATCGTCCATACCTGTAGTAAACCTCACTTCTCTGGACACAAGACGTAGCTCCACAATGGAAAACTGAGGCAATTCCAGTTTGTCCACACCTGTCACGGCATTGTCCCCTCCTTGCCAGAAGAATACGATATCATCTGTGGTATACCCATCTGCAGAGATTGTAGACAGTACAACAAATGTTTAATAATGTTTGTGTATTATACAACCATAGCACTGGACAATGACATTTTTACATCTAGAAAACAGATTTCAGTGATGATTTCTAAAATGAAAATTGAACTACATGGCACAAACTACCGGAAGGCACAGAACAAATTAGTTTATTTCATTCATCAATGGTGACAAAAATGTGATTTGTGTTTTAGTGAGGTGGAAATTGGTCTGCATTAAGTGTCGTTATCAGCACTGTTAATTGCACAAATAAATGGTTCTGCTGTGTGGCATCTAGTTGGTCGCTGTGTTCAGTTTCATCACACATTTTAGAGTGTTTAACGTGCTTTCTGTATGACAAGCTGTGTCACAATTAGGAGGAGAAAATGGCAAGAGGTATACAACTGAAGTGTTTGCCAACATTTTGAAATAAAAACAAAATAAAATAAATATTAATATGAATTCTCTGTCTTTGCTTTTCCAACCACTAATACTGTATATACTATAATGTTGCAGCTTGGTGTGACACAATGAAAAGCATAAAAATGGAGAAAATTGCAAAACATTTTTATGCAAATTATGTAATTCAGACAGAGATTTCTGTCTGCTAAGTGCAAAATTTAGGCATTGAATGAAACAATTCACATGAGAATGGCTTTATGAATGGTATACACAATGAGTAAGACAAATTCAATGATTTTGTGAATAATTTACACAAAATTAGGTAATTTATGTGAGAACGTTTTTTTGAAAAATGTATGTAACAAATGAGACGTAAGAAAAGTTTTATGATAGGTTTACGCAACTAATGCAACGATTTACAGAAGAATGTTTCATGTTCAAACCCTTTCTGCATTAACTGTGATTTATCAATGATTTACAAAGAAACTTATTCTTGTTTTTCATGACTACTGTGCAGTTAATGACACCTAATGCATTAATTTATTGGAATAGCAAACATTACACTTTAAAAAATGCTGGGTCAAAACAACCCAAATATCTGAGTTTGTCCCTTTTTAACCCAGCGCTGGGTTATATTTAATCCAGCATTTTTTAGAGTGTAGTGTTCCAAAAGTAAGGAAATGTTGATACTAGCAAATCGGAAAAATCTCATGCCTCAGCAAGGCAGTAGCATCTGACCCATTGATCTGCAGTAAGCATGAAACAAAGTGCACGGTGTAATCATTTGAAACACAAATCTAGCTATTTAACTGGGCTCCTCTGATGTATCCATGATAGACAGGGCACGCCATCCTGGTACGACTGACTGATCGATAGAGCAGGGCACCTCATTGATAAACCGGCAAACACATTCAATCTTACCTATGTCTGTCAATTGTGCCATGAGCCCTCAGTGTCAAACCCCTACAAGAACATTTATCACTCCTGACAACCAAAGACAAGAGTGGGCAGGACTGCGGATATGGGTGATTGCTCTAAATGGGCTTAATGATTACGTTTGCTTACATTAGGTATCTGTGGAGTGTGACAGAGATAAGAAGTAAAAGTGAAATTTATGAGCTGGATGAGTTCAAACTGCTGTTGTCCACGGTCACGGTTTCTTCAAGGTGATGTGGTTAGAACCGTAGTCAGAGTTGGCGTTTGTGGAGTGTAGGTTGTGAAGACGATTGATGAAGGTTAGACTATCACGCCAGTGATGGGGATTCTGATTTCTTTTTCTCAAATTTGTTCTTTTGAATGATCCTGTTCAATCATTGCGTGGCATCTGATTTCCTAGTTTGGCATATTATGCCCTCAAAATCATTCTCAACAGCTACTAAAGCTCACTGGATATGATGACGACGAAGTGTTTCACAGCTAGACATCTCCAGTTTGCAGTAACTTGCATAATTATTTGTTTCATTCATTGTCTAATTGTTTTAGAGGTACTTTTTTTTAAATCATTTTTATATATATTTTTTTTTAATCATTGTGTGAATAATATGTAACCATCTAATTCATAAACAGTAACTGTAATCTGATTATGAGCATTTTAAAATGAAATATACTCTAATTAAAAGTACTTACATTTTGGAATCTGATTACATAATTCAGATTACATGTAATTAGTTACTACCTAACACTGGGTAGGAGGTGCTATTACACTCTAAAAAAATGCTGGGTTAAAGTCCACGTGAACTGGAAGTTGCTGCCGACTTTATTTCAGTGTAGTGACGTATTTCCAGCTGAAACAGAATACTGAATAGAGGGCGGGATTTTATTTTTGCGTTCCTCCTCTTTGTCTCTCACTTATAGCAACCTAACGGTTGGAGGGGTGTGTTTAAGGATATTCTGCCCAAGCCGTCAAAATGACGTCATCAGAGAAGGAAAGTAAAGAGCGGAAGTAAATGTTCAGATTTTAATTAAAGATTACTGAAACAAACAATTTTTTTTACAGCGGATTAACTTGCACGGATTAATTGTTCACATCAAGACTAGCAATGTGCACTAATAAAGTAAATAAAGTCAATTTTGATTTCATGCGGACTTTAAATACAACCCAGCGCTGGGTGAAATATGGACAAACCCAGCTATTGGGTTGTTTTGAGCCAGTGGTTGGGTTTCTACCCAGAAGGTTGGGTTAAACATTTAACCCAACCGCTGGGTCAAAACAACCCAGTAGCTGGGTTTGTCCATATTTCACCCAGCACTGGGTTGTAGTTAACCCAACATTTTTAGAGTGTACACTCTAAAAAATGCTGGGTTAAATACAACCCAGCGCTGGGTGAAATATGGACAAACCCAGCTATTGGGTTGTTTTGAGCCAGTGGTTGGGTTTCTACCCAGAAGGTTGGGTTAAACATTTAACCCAACCGCTG